CAGGTTGCTTATTGTTGAAATTGATCGTTGAGAGCATGATTATGTAGCAAAGCACAAGGGCCCTGAAAGAGTTTTTTTTGGTCAGTTCGGTGGGCCTCCCGCCTGCGGTGTTTTCATGCGCCCGCGAGTCGCGCCATCGCCAGGTGGCCTCGAGCCACGCTGCTACTAGCGGCGGCGTTTGGTTGTTGACGCTAATGGCAATGTCCGATGCGACCCACAGTCAAGCTGCCTTCTGAAAGCCTCAGCGCGGTTGAAAGATATCGCAGCGACTGTTGGAAAGATGCAACGGGCCCAGCTGAACAAGAAAGGGCTCATTTGCATCCAGCCCTTCACGCTCGTGAAGCCCATCACGTGATAGCTGATTTCAAAGCTGTTGCACTCTAGCAGCGCTCCAGGCGTCGCCATCAATGCGTCCGCGGGAATTTGGTCGTTGGTCATCGCAGCAGCAGCCCTGGTGAAATGAACTGCCAAATCTCAAGTGTAGCGTACTCACAGCGGTTACCCAGTATCATAGCCTGGATCAAATGCTCGCATCGCATCTCATAGAAGGCTACACTCAAACGGGCCTGGTAGGTTTTGATCAGTGTTGTGGACAGACAGCCTACTCCTGAAAAACTACATCAATCCAGCCTCTCCCCAAGTCGTCGCAGAGGGCTAGGGAAATTGACCGACAACCTAAGGTTCCTCAGTTGTCGCGGTACTTGATGATTCGCATCTGCTGCGCATCTTGACTCTGAGCCCGGACCAACAGCCCCAAACGGTATCCAGGCTGCCGGGATAAATGCACCACTGCCAAGTGCCGCCACCAGCCTTTGACATGAGACCTAGGCAGCTTCTGGTGCGTTCATCATGCGCAAATGCCATTTCGTGTTCAATCACCTCAGCAATTACCTTCAGTCGATTCAGGGTACCTCCTTAACCCACCTTTCCTTGCTTTCCAGCGCCTCGTGCTCATAGCCCAGAATCGGCTCGTTGTCGAGCGGGCGCCATTGAGAATCGGTCGCGTTCACGAAAGGTCAGACTGGTCAGGATACAGTATCAAGAATCAACGCCGATGACAGCGCTTGAGCGGTGCACCACCACGTTTCACAAGCCTATTGTGCGTCATGGTTGAGCCTCACTGAGCCTCAATTGATCCTTCTGTCGGTACCATCCGTTGTCGCGAAATTGACATGCAGGCGATGCGGTCCTCCATGGCTGTTCAGTTTGATTGGCAGCGGCCTAGAACGTGCTGGCGGCCGCCCAAAACGAGAATCACACCACGCTCGCAGACACCCGGGAAAAGCGTGATCTGGCGTATTGCCTACGGTCCTCGCCGTAAAACAGCCCTAAAAAAAGTTGCTGAGCGAGCCTAAGAAGCGGGAGGGAGATCCGGAGTCTCCAGAACCGGGGCCCCCTAGCACGGCCTAATCAACATTAGCCAGCCCGGAAACGGGGGCCGTCACGCCCACTGGTTAGGCCGCTCCAGGCTTCTGGGCGCTGCTTTTGGACCAAGGACCCCCTGAAAGTGCCGTGACTTTTTCGTCCTCGGACGTGCTTCGAAGCCTCTGCATCTAACAGAGAGGCATGGGCATAGCCCCTGGAAGGCGCCAGCAACACGGGCTGGGCCGTCGATTCATTAGCCTGAAGCATCTCTTGGCTGACACAGACAGGGTGGTATGATTCTACGGACGACGATGAACGGGTTCAGTCTGGAAGTCCCCGCAGACGAACAGAATAAAAGCATGAAGGTGCAGGGTAATATGGGCCCTCTATGTGTACGGTCTCTTCAACATTCAACCACTTCAGTACATTTGTACATTAATCGAACGACACAGCGTCAATCAAATCCCTACAATCACTTCCACAATCAATTGACCTGAGACACTATCATGGCGAGCATAACATCGCCACCAACCCCACCACTACCAGCGCACCATCACTTCGCGCCAGACATGGATGATTCCATGGAACACCTTCCTCTCAATGCGACGGCGTCTTGGAAATTCCCCAGGACCGACAGTGCCCACACCCTGATACCTCTTTCGACGATCCCCACAGAGGTCGATCACAATGGTCATGGCTATGGCCATGGCCATGACCACGATCACGATCACGATGCCACAGAGACCGACTTGACCAACGCTGCGGCTCGATGGCTGAAGCGCTCGGAACCCACCTATAGACCCATCTCGGAGCGACGTCTCAGGTTCGAGAGTCGACGTCCGACATGGCTTCGGGAATGCATCGCTGAAGCGACTGGTGTCTTCATCTTTGTTCTCTGCGGCATCTCCTCTATCACCAGCTTCACCCTCCACCAATCCGACGACCTCGGCGTCACTGCCTTCGGATCCATCTTCCAGATCGGATGGGCGTTTGCTGTCGGTGTCGCCATTGCCGTCATCACCTGCGGTCCCACCTCGGGCGGCCACTTTAACCCGGCCATCACCCTCGCCATGGCTTTTTGGCAGGACTTCCCCTGGCGCAAGGTTCCCTACTACATCTTCTCGCAGATCCTCGGTGGCTTTACCGCCGCCCTCCTTGTCGTCTGCATGTATTACACCAAATTTCAGCACATCACCGACGAACTGATAGCCGCCGGCAAGCCCCTCGTCGGCGGTGGTTCGCCAGCATCTTGTCTCGCGCCCATGCCCCACGATGATCAGACCCTTGGCTATGTCTTTGCCGCAGAGTTCTTCTCCGACGCCTTCATCGGCCTTGCCATCTGGGCCGCCCTCGACCCCGCAAACCCCTTCATCCAGCCGGCCGGCCTGCCCTTCGTCATCGGAATTGCCTACGCCAGCATGATCTGGGGCTTCGGCAGCCTGACCCTCAGCACGAACCTCGCGAGGGATCTCGGTCCACGCATGGTCGCAGCCATCTTCTGGGGACGCGAGGCTTTCACAGACCACGCGTACGCGCCCATTGGCATGCTCGTCAATGTGCCCGCCACGCTGCTTGCCACAGCCGTGTACGAGCTATGCATGCGCGACAGCTTTGCTATTATTGCGAAGGGACATGCACGCCACCGTGACGGTGACGAGGGGCTGTACCGCCATATGAGTCGGTGCGGCATGTTAGATGAGGAGAGGGGGTATTTGCAGCACGTCACTACCCATAGGGATTAAAAATGTTCAGAAGAAGTGCAGAGTCTAGATACGATGAGACGGAGAAACGATTTATGATGAACCAAAAGGTTGGATTTGGAGTAAATTTAATACTTAATCCCTTTGTATTCCAACTATATTGTTGTGACGTGATCCTAGACTCCAAAAGGTTGAGCCAAGCTGAGGTGAGGCACTCAAGATTGGCTGTGGGAAGTGAATATAACAGATCGCGAGGTGTTATGCGAAGTAGAGCGAAAGTTTTATTGACTGTTTGCTGCCTATATTTGCAAGTCGCGATGGAGGTATCACGCCTCATTGTATCCCACAGAGGCCCTCGAGCTGTTATCATTGAGACACCAAGTCGGTTTGCGACACTGGCACCCCAGCGCATGTAGTCCCGATAAGCTTTGACTTCAAGTAACAAGAGAGTAAGCCAGCAACTCCTTGCTTTCCGTAGCAGATACGCCATGATGTGCAGCCGACACAAGTGTCACTGAAGAGAACAGCTTTTACACCGTCAACACACCTTGTGCCATGATAAGTGCCTGCAAGGCTGTAAAGAAGCGCATTGCCACCAGCCTACGAGGCAAGCCGCTCGCATAACCTTCTTTCTGTGTGTGATTCGAGCCCGCTACCGGAAATATAACCACGCGCACCAATCGGATGAAATGTTGTGATTTCCAACCTAGCTTGCCTTGCAGAGACGGCTACGGGCCTTAAAGAAGTCCGACAAATTATTTTATTCTCAGTGTCATCGCTCCGCAGCGCTGCTCACTCATCAGAGGCTTCACCGCGACTCTGCAAGCTTTGATTCCGATTGTTTAGTCTCCGAGGACTTGTCTCTTCTTTCTTCATCTTCAGCGCTTTCAGCACGTGGAAACCCGCCACACGTATAAACGATACTCGTATAGTAATCCATCGCTCGACGAGAGCCGTCATGGCCCCACTGGTAAGGTGGTGTCCCCCTCTTGGCATGGCCAATATTGCTCCATTGGTGAAATTTTGGACTGCGCCCTCTGGAACTCATGCCCCTGAGATCTTCCCCATAAATGTATCACCCGATCACAAAGCGAACCATTTACCAACAATCCCTTTGTGATTTTCACAGGATCAGGATATTCCTTGCGTTTCCCCGTATGCCAACTTACCACGTGGGAGGCGCCAAGACCCTGTCAGCGGCTGGCCTGCCTGTATGTCCTCACCAGTGCTTCATGTTGAGCCTGCACAGCCACCCCCGAGCTGCGCTCACAGTGGGTGCCAGAGCCTTGGCATAGTGCAACTGTCAGTGCTTCCATGCTCATCTCCGGTGATTTTCCAAGAATCAGATGCAATAGTTTTCCGAACCATTCGATCTACCCGCTGTTGTCTGTAGATCGAAACCCAATCAAGCGTGGCGCGCAGACCCATGGAGATGCTCAGGGATTTACCTCGTGAGGGGCCAAGCCCTCCCCGTTCGTGAGCGGAGCTTCTCTGGGATATACTCCGTCTTTGATCAGCATTGGGCGCTACAGACTGGGCAAGTCATGGAACTGATCATTGCTTCTGCTTACTCAAATCGAAACTTCATGCGGCGATTATCCACAAATCTCCATCTCGTAGATTGCAGGGCATACAGGGCTTTCTGATTGCGGTGCAGCGTTATACTCGGCCAGCGCCGTTCTGGGGTTCGGTCAACGAGATGTAACAACGCGGCGATAGAGTCGAAAGACAACATAAGAGCAGCTGAAACCCCTCCCAGTAAACGCTTTTGATTTCCTTCGCTCATCATCAGCATCGACCAGGAGTCTTTCACTCATCTTACCCATTTCATTGTGATTTTCTGTCATATTTACCATTCTCCAAACATATTGCCGTCGACCGGTTTAGAAGACTTTTATCAACTTTTCAAAATCTCGACGAGAATCAACATTCGAGATGTACCCCTCCAAGATTATTTCACTGCTCGCTGCCGTTCCGGCTACCATGGCCTGCCTTGGCTACGAAGGTGGAATCCCGAAGGCTACCGACACCAAGTCACTTGATGCCCCCCAGTACATCAAGGCCGGTGAGGTCTTCGATGCCGAGTGGGTCCGCTATGACCGTGGTCAGCCTTGCGATGGTCAGAGCGAAGGTGGTGAGTATTCTCGAGCAGTCGAATGGTGGAGGCACTCACTAACAACATAAAGGCGAGAAGGACACGGTCTTCGTACTTGAGGACGGCGCCACCCTGAAGAACGTCATCATTGGTGCCGACCAGAAGGAAGGTGTCTACTGCAAGGGCTCCTGCAACCTCGAATTTGTCTGGTTCGAGAACGTTTGCGAAGGTTGGTCTCCCACCTGAACTCAGTGCTTCCACGACATGATGCTGATCAAAGTTAGACGCTATCTCGATCAAGGGTGATGGTCTAGCTACAATCGTCGGAGGCGGAGCCTACGGAGCTGCTGATAAGATCATCCAGCACAACGGCTGCGGAACAGTGCACGTTACCAACTTCTACGCCGAGGACTATGGCAAAGTGTACCGTTCTTGCGGCAACTGCAAGGGCAACTGTGCCCGCACCGTTCACATGGAGGGTGTCACGGCCGTCAACGGCGGCGAGCTTATGGGCATCAACCCCAACCTGGGCGACAAGGCTACCTACTCGAACAACTGCTTCCCCAAGACCGAGTGCCAGGCCTACGAGGGTTGCGACAAGGCGAACGGCGACTGCGAGCCTAGCAAGGCAGGCAAGTGCTGAAAATCTTTGGTTCTTCCTCTCATCAGAGCTTTGAGCGTCAAGGATGTCTCCAAGACAGATTCAGTTGTCCATATTTTTGAAACCCTTTTGTACATTTAGATCCCACACATTGTATACAGTGTTACACAACCTTTAGCTTGCTGAAGGCGTAAGCAATTTGACATTAGCTTGATGAAGTGAGAGGGAATTACGAGATGCCTTTTTACTCTGATTGCAGTTGACTGACCCGTGTACCCCAAGTATCGGCTCTACGACATTGATGCTGACCATTCAACTATTGGAAAAGGGGGTATGTTGTGACAGTGGCTGTAAGCAATGCCACGATGAATGTGCCTGTGTGAGCCGCATGACTTAGGGAGCCCCTGGATTACCTGTGACGGCGAAGTTGCTGACTGCAAAGGGATACGGGGGGAGAGAAAAGCGGCATCAAAACGGCTGACATAGTCGATCACCGCATTGAAATTCATTGGGAGTATGAAATTACAACGAGAGGTGGAAGGCCAAGCACGACCATGCTGTCAGACTTCATATTTTAGTGCAATTGGTTATCTGAAGGGACGCTAGTGCGCTATAGTCGAGATATTTAGGTGTACCAGGTAGGCTCCGGAATCTCCCCAAGTAGGACGTAGCGTCCGAGCTCACGGTTCTTGTACGCCACGGGATCATGCAATGAGTGTGTCCTGATATCCCTCCAGAACCGATCGAGTGCGACCTTCCTCTGGGTAGACTTGGAGCCAGTGACTTCAAAGACCCCAGATGTTACCCTCAGGCCGATATCAGTGGCTGCCACCTTTACGCTAGCCACCCATTCCGCAGCCTCACCACGAGCTTCGGCGGTGAGTTTGGATCGCGTAGCTATGTCACCAGAATGCTGATAAACAGAGTTGATCTCTAGACCAGCCTGGTCGGCAAGAGCAGTGGCGGCACGTAGATGAGCGAATAGGTTGCCGTATGTCGAGAGGATGTAGAATTCGTCCTGCGCCTTTTCCTTATTCTTGGTGATGTTAGTGTCTGAAAGCTATGCAGGGTTGGAGTTCTTGAGACACCATTGAACGGCATGGGAGAGACTTACATCGCCACCGAACGGCCAGGCTCGAGTTGACTTGTTTGTGTAGGCCTTAGCCTCGTTCAGGGCACCCCAGGCAATGCCAAGGTAGAAGTTGCTGAAGACGAGCTGAATTCTGTACGAAATAGGTCAGCTTCATGAACAAATCTGGAGACGAAGTAAACGGCAAGGCTTACGTCGGAAGCAACAGTGTTGCGAATGGTATGGTGAGCGGTTCGGCTGGGACTTTTTTCTCGACGTCCCAACCAAGGGCATCAGCCCATGGAGCGCTGACCTTCTCGATCTTGACGCTTCCAGATTCCGTCAACCGTAGACCAACGTTATCCCAGTCGTGGGAGAACTGGATTCCAGGTTGCTGCGTCTTGACAAGCGCAAAGATGTGGTTGGCAGTGTCCTCGTACACGCCCTCGAGCACCGTCAGGTCGGAGACGACACCGCCCGTATTGAAGAACTTGAAACCGTCAAATACGATGTTATCGCCATCAGACGTGATCTTCAAATCACTGTCCCGAGGGTTTACAGCTCCACCAACGAAGTAGTTATTGGAGATGATCAGGTCTTGCACACGGTCGGCCTGCTCAGGTGTGCCGACAACATCGGCGGTGGTTGACCAGAGTAGATGGTAGCCAAGAAGCATGCCCAGAGAACTGAGTGAGTTAGATCATGATTCCATACTTTGTCCAAAAATGTGCACTCACCCATCACCCTTGGCAACCTCGCGTATCACCTTGTAGCCAACACTCCATGGCTGACCACCACCGCCATACTTCTCCAGACCGAGCACTTTCAAGAGGCCAGCATGCTTCAGTAGTGTCACTTCAGCATGAGGAGCTTTGTTCTCTCGCTCACGGTCGCCAGCATCCTTCGCAAGGACAGCTGCGACGTCCTTGGCTCTCTGAACCCATTCGGTCTCCGATGCAGGTTGCTTAGCCCAGGTGATCTTGTACTCATCATAGACCGCTGGGTCAGTAGACCGAGCACCATTGGTGGCCATCTTGAACGTCAGAGATTTATATGAGTGCGGACTATACTGCTGATGGGTTAAAATACTTATGTGTAGTCGTTTGTGCGCTCCAATGCTCGATGGTCCAAAGGTGATTACATGAGTTCGTCACTAGCTACTTATACAGGACCGGAAGCTCGGCTTGAAGCTGTCGCAGCGGCCGCGATACCTGCGCGTGATCGTCAGGCACGTATTGCGCAACCAGAGTGGCGTGACACATCCCTATCTTTCTGACACATGAACCGACCTAATCGGAGCACTGATGCCATTCGCGCTACGATGGAGTCAGAATGTATATCACATACCAAAGTACTAGCTACAAGCTCTTTATTAAGTTTGACTCTGTCATCCATGGTCCCTGAGCCAGTCGGTCTTGCATGCGGGGTGAGGAGGGGTGGATGAGAGGCTAATCTGGGAGGGGCCCCGTATTGTCCCTGGCTGCAGGAGTGCAGCCTGTCAACCTGTAGGCGCTAAGTAGATCCTTCGACCCTTGATCAAAGATGCGTGGGGGGTAGGCGAGTGAATGCCGATTGCCGGCCAAACAGAAGGAGTCGAGAGTTTGGAATTGGTTGTTGACCTCGGTATTCAACCAGGGGTCTGGAAGGGTGCTGACAAGGATGGTGATGGCGACATTACCACAATCGCATGATGTGATCGCGGGCCAAAGCTGCAATGGCACCGCCAGTCTTCGGCTCAAGACTCCTTCACAAAACAGGCATTTGATGGTCAACGCAACAATTTTAACTTTCAAGGCCATACGCTGGGTCATGATGCACATGAAAAATTGTAGTCGTGGCTTGGATCGAAGCGAGCCATGACTTAGTCTTCACGAAGCATAGCGACTCCAAGCCAGGTCTAACTACCTCTGCTAATCTAACGTTTCACACCAATGTATGCAAGTAGTTTGCCTGTTTGAGCAGTGATGAATGCGTGGTCTAGGGTCATAGCACCGCTAATGCTCAGTTTCTCTTGCGTGTCTTGGGAAAGTAGCCTGATGTGTCTCCCAGAGGGAGCTCGCACAAATCGTCTTTAATCAGCAGGTGGAGAGTCAAGTACCTGGATCATGTGGTTAGAACGTTCTATTTAAATCAGAGATGAATAGTATCTTACCAGCCAACAAGCCCGGCAAGAAAGCAAAACACTCCGGATGCTTTCTTCAAGGCAATGGACGCCGAATGACTGCCGTCCGCAGCAGCGAAGTAGCTTGCAGCAACGAGTATGAAACCCAGGTCTACCAGGGCGAAAATGGCTATGAAGACTAAGTTGGAGGGCAGTGAAGCGATAAGGAATGTCAATACGAAGACGGCCCAAACTAGATCAAAGGTGAAGTCAGCCAATCTTCTACAATCCTGGTATTGATCTGAATCGAGATTATTTGTATTAGACTTACGGATCATGAAGAAACCGAGCGCGTTGTTGAACTGCGCAACGTCATCTCCGTATGCATCAGCAATCCCGAAAGACGGAGTCAATATCGCCGCGTATCCCGCATAGAACAGAGCTTCAGGCTCACACGTCAGTATCGGTCATACAAATGCATAAGGGGCAAGCATTAATGCGTACCAAAAGCGCTGTAGACGGTGTAAGAGAACCCGTTACCAACGGAGAGCTCCCACTGAGCTGAGATGAGTAGTCCCAGAGCTGCGATAAAGAAGAAGTTGCCGACGTAAACATTGGTGATGGTCACTCCACGCCATTCCATCAGGCTGAGTGAAAGTGTTGTCAAGGTCGTCGCAAAGGCTCCAATGGGAAGAGCTGTCTGTTGAAGAATGATTAGCTATCATGACAGGATGCATATTGCTCAAACTTTTCGACAAGAAAAGTGGAGGGTCCTACAGCTGCTGGAGGCAAAGACTTCGGAGTCAGAGGTCCCAGTGTATGTGGTTGGATCGACTGCGCAAAACCATGATCGACCTGACCCTGTTGGTCTTTGCTATGACTCGTACTATGCTCAGACATGACGACTTCGTCTCTGACGTATTGGGGCTGTTTTTTTTGATTTTGACTCTTTCTATACCAGTTCCGGTTGAGAGGTCAGAAAGAAAACCTTCTGGGGCGCAATTGGGGAGGGAATAATGCCAGTTTTAGATGCCAGCCTTGGAGCAAAGATTGGCATGGCAGATTACCCGGCCCAAGTTCCTGGAAAATGCTCCATCCACAGACACTCATTTGAAACGAACGCGAGTGTCCTTCGGCATCGTTAGCCCGACACACCACTTCAGCCTGAGTTGGAGAGGTCAAATGCAAAGCGGAGACGCACTCCTAGACACAAAGTTTACTAGTGTATTTGAGCGACGATCCGAAATCTCCGGAACCCCTAAACATCTGCGCCCCAAGTTAGTCTCGCATCACAGTGCCCCAGGATTGCGCCACATTGAACGACTCGTGTTGTTCGTCGTAGCTCGAGTTCAAATTGGATAATGTATCTTTGACTATCGTTTCCGTACCGCACCTGGGTTGACCCTAGACCATTGCGGGTTTCTTCGGCAGGTCATATGTCTTCAGGGTAAGCTCATGGGGGTGAGCTCTAGAACACGTGGATAGCGGCACATATCACCTGGAGAAGACAACTCAATGCCTCAGGTTGCCAGGACTACTAGTATTCGATTTCTGTTATCTACATGATCCAAGTTGATCTAATATTCTGCGATCATGTGGCAGGAAGCAATCACGATTGCAGCCCCTCACAACGTCGGTGCGCCTACATCGTCGTCGAACTGTGAGATGGTTGGAACGACAGTGGTAATGGTTTGCTGGGCAATTTTGGTTACATTTGAAATCTAAGATTTGGAGATGAGCTTGGCCTTGTAACTATGATTCTTGGATTTTGTGAGCTTGACCACACCATTTTACTGTCGATCTTCCAAGCTAGCTCGAGATCACATCACATACCCATGTCTTGACGTGACTCGGCAGTCGACTCAGTCACTAGAGATGGTTCTGCCTTGATCTTCTTCACACCGGGCCCCCACGCAAAGCATGCTCTTATGTGGACGTAAAATGACGCCATTACTCTTAAAATGGTATATCGCTCGGAGGAAGGCAGAACGCCGCGCTGAACGTTAGAAACAGTTCATCACTGAGCCACTTTGATGCCGGCCGCAATGCGGGGTAAAGTACCATGAACATAACCTTGGGCTTCGGGCAACAAGGGCCAATCGTCCGATATTGGACTTCGCATCTTCCCTTTGCTTGGGCAAGTCAAGCGACGCGGCATCAAGTCATAGCACGTGCGTTCTGTTCATACGCCGCATAGCGGAGGATCATAGACAACGTCGCATTCGAGAAACAGGTGGCCTATACCGGGCTGCTTCGACACGATTGTAAAGTGTAAAGTGAGCAACGGAAGATCCACAAACGTCAGACGCGCATCTTCAGAGCCCTGATCCTTGGTGCGTTTGAGCAGTAATAGGAGCAATGACTTTATTCAACTTGTATCTGACGTCCGTTGTCAAACAATCATTTCGATTGGCCATCTGGCAAAGTGCATCAGTCTGTCTGCGTCAGAGCTTTCATTGCTGTTCTCGATCGTCACGCAAGGAGAGCGGACTGAGATTGAAATGCTGTATTGCTTGCTACGCACAGTGATCTGCTGCAATAAGAACTATTTCGAAACATCTTTCATATACCAAATTATGTCGATTTTATCAATACGCTGGCTTCACACATCTTCAAGGCCACTCTCATTGTAACAACAATACAAGGGACTGGCTGACACTTTGCCGACCTTTTAGTTACCGTACAGAGCCACAAATCGTGGCGAGTCTGGGACATTGCTGACCTGTTTGTCTTATAAAGATATACTTCGCAAAAGAGAACCATCTGTGTGCAGTTGAAAACACAAATGCAAATGCCTAAAACTGCCGCCGTCTGTCGGCACGCTGACGTATTTGGCAAAGAAATTGTAAACAATCATTGCTCCCACAGAACCTGATAAAAACGGGATCGTTATCTGTCACACTAACATCTCTGTGGCTGTTTACGATTCTGTCCGTGGTACATACGTGTTTGCATGTAGATTCAAGGCACCTGAAACATCCATGTCTCCGGCCATCCTTGACGTTTGCTTATTGCTTGTTTTTAAAGCATTCTGACTCTTCGTCCGAATAGAATCACGTGATTCCTTGAGCACCAGAGACTTTTGAAGATTATTTCATATGATTGACGAGATGCCCCAGATTTAGGTCAGTCCCAACGTCAGTTGTTTAATCATTAATCTAGTAAGGGCCAGGTATATGCAACCGAGCATCAAACTTTGAACAGGCGGTCAGGCTGCAGTCGTGATGCTGAACGAGCGGGAACACAAATTTTGAACCGTAGCGCAAGATCCGAGTGAGCTCTCCGCTCTTTTGGCCACAAGGCCCTGAAAGATTTACTCTATTTCCATGCGCCAACAATCTGCTCTCGTTTCTTCTTCATTCATCCAGTCGACAATCCAAATGAATGTGCAGTCATCTCGCATACGTGATTCATGCGCTTGTCCGTCATCGTTTCTTGAAAAGGTTTCAGACCTTGAATTACGAGAGCTTCAGCGTGCCAAAACTGGGCTATAGACATTTCATTAGTCACACTAGCAGTTGCGGAACAAGCCATGTCCTGGATATATGCCCGTGAACCCAGCCCTCTGTCTTCCCATTAAGCTGAGCGTTTGGCTTAGCCTTCAGCTTGAGTTCAAAATCCTATTTCGGCGACTAGTCGGGGCAGGAGCTCCAACTGTCAGCATCCTTTGTGTTAACGCTCATAGATTCAACATCATTCTTGATAGGGGTCATTTAAATTCAACCCTCTTAGATAACTTCGACACAAAGGCAATCAAATATGACATGCAGGATTCGCCACATCGAAAGTCTCAATTAACAATTTCTCTTAAAATCATCAGCGCCTAAATTCTCTTCTTTGTAGGCCTTGCAATCATCTCCTTCGGCTTGGTCTCTTGAAAGCGATGAGTGCCCTGACGCAATGTCTCTTGAACAAGCGGCAAGCTTTCGTGC